TCCGCGCGCAGAGGGTCTGGGGAGGAGAACGCCAGAGGTTCTGTTGGGCGTTTTGCAGAGCGTTGATACACGTCAGTCGTTGTGTCGTTGGCCTCTGTTCGGGTGATGAAAAGGCTTCTCCGCAGGGTGCGAATGAACGCTGCAGGCAGGGTGTGCTGCGTGTGGGTGGTGTGGAGCAAGGTTGTGCGGAGCGTGTGGCGAGCTGGAGCCTGTCGGGAGGAGGGCTGTTCAGGAGAGGGAGTGATAAGGAGATGTAACCCCTGCAACTTGATGGACGCTTGCTGAAATTTGCTGGGTGAAGAGATCTTATTAGTGATCAAAGAACACTGGGTTTTCAGGGTGCGGTTGCAGGAGCCGGGCAGGTTTCTGTAGCCTCACTGCTCAGAGCAGACTGCGGCTGCCCCCGGGGTGCTGTGCCCGTCCTTTTGTGCTCACGTGCCAGCACAGAGGGGCCCGAGGACCCACACAGCTGCAAAAAGCCCTCGGAAGGATCTGGGTGACCACAGGATGCCCACATTAAGAGCCAGTCCCAGGCTCGCACCTCCTTTCCGAAGTGCTTTTTTTCCAGAAGAGATGATAAGGAAAAAAAGGCCTTTGTGCCATTCACCGAGCATTTCGTGCAACGGTGCAGCATGAGCAGCTGGGCTCTCCCTGGAGCTGCTCTCAGCTGTATTTGGGAGATGTATCTAGACAGCTGCCCTCAGCCCGCTCTCATGGGAGAGACCAAGCTGTCTAGGCAGCTGGGAGCAGCATTCTGTGGCAAAGACTGCTTTAACCTCCTTCCCCCCAGGGTCTGAAGAAGCTCGTCTGCGGAGAGGACAACGGAGCGTTTAACAGAAAAGTGGATTTTACTCCAAAATGTCAAAAGCTCAAAGGCTGTAATAGAGGCCTTGGCAATTAGCACTGGTGCTCAAGTGTCTGGTATGATTTTGGTCTCACAATGGGCCATGAAGATTTTCATTCTGATCAGTTACAACATATGTCTAAGACCTTTCTATGTAAAGAATGACCCTGGTTCCCTTAAAGTATCATATTTATTTGAGTTTGAATCCAATGCACAGTAAGCCAGCCGACGTGCTCAGTCGTCACGCACCCCAGAAGGCTTTGTGTGTAGAGCCAGTCCAGCGTGCGTTGGCGAAGCGAGCTCATGTAGTTACTCGTCTAACAGGGGCAGGTGTCTGATCCACAGCAGTGAACCTGCACATACCCGAGTAGAGCTAAAATTAATCTTTGGAAAATAACATTAATAGCCCAAGTGCAGACGGAAATTTGTCATGGAATAATGTTGCTCCCAGCTTCACCACCCAGCTGCTATTTTTCCTTCTTGAGCTGCTGAATCTGGATCCTGATGACAACGTGGGATCCGAGGCCAAAGTCGGGGACAGTGCAGGAGGCGGCGTGGGTGAAGTGCTCTCCCGCGATGGCTGTGTTTGTGTCGATCTCTCTGTGTAGGAGCAGACATATCTGACTTTCTCTGAACACCTTCCTGTCAGTGCTGGAAGTGTCTTCTAGGCCCATGAGTTTGCTGAAGCATCTGCATGGTTGTAACATGTCGTTACTCATCCCACTAACTTGTGTGTGAGCCAGATGACTTGTCATCGTACCCGTTCCATCAGCAGTAGTCTCTGTTGCTTGGTGTCTGTGGTGTGTGTTGGTGGGGAAGGAGGGAATCTAGGAGGGCTCCCCGCTCCGTGCAGGCTGCTGGGACATGGGCTCACTGACATCCCTGGGGCCGCGGGGGCTGCGCTGCAAGGTGGAGTCACCCTGACGAAGCAGGATTCACCAAGGGGTGACACTTCTCTTGATAGTCCAGATGCTGCTTCTTCCCTGTGTTTCCTCTGGTGTCCTGTTTGGTTCCTGTCCCGTTTGGTTCCTGCCTAGGTGAGTGGTGAGAAACGAAGAAAATGGGTCCCTTGCGCTCAGAGGGGCTGGATGAAGAGTCCCTTTGCTGTGGTCTTTTGGGGCCAGCCAGGACACTCTGTTTTACACAGACCTGAAGATCAGGTGTAGCTGCTCCCCAAGGCAGACTTTGCCGTGGGGCCTCGTACTCTGCAGCCCCGCTGAACTCTGCCTGCGAGCCCTGGGCCGGGCAGCGCGTGGTTAGGCAGGCAGCGTCAGCAGAGAGCGGCCCACGGGTCAGCCAGCCTCGCTGAGCAGCGGTGTCCGAGCGGGAAGAAGCTGCTTCACTCTTCCCCAGCTCTTTTCCCTGGAGAGCGAGTACGGGCTGCATGGCTGCTGACAGCACGGGTGCGATTTCAGCAGCTGCTGCGAATGTGTTTGGGAATGAGCACAGCCACGGGCATGGTGTGTGCATGCTGCCTAGTAGGGCAGAGCCTGGGCACCCCGCTGCCCTGCTGAAGCGCGTGTGGAAGAAAGGAGAGAGCGGAGCAGTTACTGCTGCGTGCCAGGAGAAGAGGGAGCGTTGCCAGCATGGGCAGCGGCAGTGTCTTCAGCCAAGTTACAGCCCAGGTGCCTCAGTCGTAGGAAGGTGAAGGCAGGCCATGAGCAGGGGACTGCCATGCAGGACCTCGCTTGCCCTGTGCTGCCAGCCCAGGGAGTTCAGAACAAACAGCCAACGCTTGACAAACATAACCATTCCCAGCACTGAAGGGGTGCAGGCTGGGAACCTGGTCTCCAGCTTTTGAAGGAAATACGCTGTCTTCCCAATTTTATTTTTTTTCCTCCCATATTTTTCAGTTCTGCTGGGCCAGGTATTGCTTTGTATTACTTTTCTCAGAGGTTGTGTTTGGCCTTTCTTTCAGGAATTTTCGGAAGCACCTCCGCATGGTGGGGAGCCGAAGGGTTAAAGCACAAAGTAAGTGAGCACCTGTAAGATGTGGCTGTGAGGAGCTGAGGTTTGTGCTGCTGGGACATGGGGAAGGCTGTGTTGTGTGCAGATGTGGGTAGGAAGAACCTGGCATTGGGCTGGAGAAAGGGTTTGACCTGCTGATGCCATTTTACCCTGCAAAAAAGAAGGCCAGGTTGTTGTAAGCCTCCAGGACACACGGATGTCTGCAAGCAGTCTTTAAGCTGTTTCCAGGGACCCTCTGCGTTGGCCGTGGGAGATCTCTGTGGTCAGAGTAGGAGGAGAGCTGCAGCGTCCTTGTCCCATGCACGTGGGGTGTTTGGTGGTGGCCAGCGCAGACGCTTGGGAGGGGAACCAGCGCTGAGTGTTCGCCGGAGCTGCCGAGGGCTGCCTGGCCGCTTACCAAAGCTGAGGACCAGCTGTGGCTGCTGGGGATGGCCGGTGTTTCATGTGCCACGCGGCCCGGCAGCTTTCTCTGTCCTCCTCCCCTGTCCCACTGCCATCTCTGTAGCAGGACCTGGGGGAAAGTTGCCTGGTGGGAGCTGAGAGGACGGTGGAAGGGAGAAAGAAGAGGAACAGGGAAGAGGTTGGAGCACGGGCGAAATAAGGGAGTGTCCTCACTGGGGAAGAAATCACCTCTTGGGCCTGGGAAACAGCAGTTCCCTTTCCCTGAGGAAGGCGACATCCCTCCATAGCTTGGTTGGGGCAGCTCCCTTAGCGCTGTGAAATGGGCTGAGAATGGCGTGATCCGCTCCTGAGAGCTGAGGATTGCTCCAGAAGAGGAAACGGCTGGTTCTTGCCACCCCCTGGCCAGGCATCGCATACGGACTGCCCGCAGCAGAGCGCTGCTGACTTGAATTTGCATTCTTTCCTGTCCTTTCTCACATGCTGTGGGAAGTGAACAGCAAACAGCATTGCCCTTTAAACTGTCTTTATTGGCATCTGAGTTAGCACTGCCTCAAATGAACGGGGCTTACCTTCCCCTGGAGCTGTCTGGAAGTTCAGGCATGCCTCTCTGCCTTGGTAACTCTCGGGTCATGTTTTTAAAGCTGTCTTTGTGTGCGCAATAGATGAACATCTGGTTTTAAACGAAAGCTGAGGATGAAGACCACCTGAAGAACTTCCTATGTGGTTTGTCTCCCTGGACACCCACACTCAGACACACTGCAGCGGAGGGCAGGTTGCTTCTGAGCTCTTATAATGCAGATCTGCAGTGAATCTGTGTGCTGCTGACGTGAGATGCTGTTACTAGATACGCTGCAGCAAACTCTCTCTGTCTGCTGCCAGAAATAGGTATTAGTGGCTATAAGTGGCTGTTAATCTAGGCATAACGGCTCTCACATGGGCTTGCCAAGTCAGACATTGTGGTTGGCAGTTCCCGAGAATTTGTCTGCAGCGCAGCCAGCTGGACCCAGCTCTCTGGATTCTGTTGGGAAATGCTGATATAAACAATATAATGCCCGTTGGAGGGGAAATTAAAAAAAAAAAAAAGCTGAGGCAGAGTGCTCGCAGAAGTGCAGGCAAGCAAAAACTGAAGGATTTTTCTCTTTTGCAACAAAATTTAGAAAGCATGAGCTTTCCAGAGACCAGCCCTCTGTTTGGTCCAGCTCTGACTGGGATGTCACTAGAACAAGGAGGGAGAACTGACTGGAGAACTGCTGCCTTCTCCTGGCAGTGGATGTGTCATTAGCTGCTGAGTCCATCTTCCTGTGAGGCATTTCAGCCAGAGCCCTTACACTGGGACACTGGAGGAGCCTCGATTATATCGAGCTTTGAGCAGTGTGCATTTAAGGAGAGACCATCAAGTGTCCTCCTTTTTCTGTAATGGTCCTGCTCAGAAAGTGGGCACTTTGTCTTCTGCTGTCTAGAAGATAGACCCTTGTTTGCTGTGTGGAAAGGCCTCACGTTTGGCAAGTGGAAGAACAAGCACAGGGGAGTCCAGGATGTGTGGCTTTGGTGGAAATCTACTGGATGTTTTGTTTTGCTGGCAGCAGCAGAGGTGGCTTTGGAGTCTGTTAATGTCGTGCTTTGGTTTTGTCCTAGCATTTGCCGAACGGCGTGAGAGGAGCTTCAGCAGGTCCTGGAGTGACCCGACTCCCATCAAAGCCGATTCCTTCCATGACTCTCGAGAAAGTGAGTTCTGAGTCCTTTGAGTTTCCTCCTGTGGACAAAGCCTCCAGCTGAGGTGTTGACTGGAGTCCTACTGGAGTAACTCCTCTGTGCCCTTTTGTCCCACCTGTGATCCTTGTAGTTTCATGAGATGTGACAAAGAATGCTCCAGGTATATGCGCCTGTTGATCCGTGTGTGCCTGTATTTATTTGTAGAGCACAACGCATCTAACCTCACGCTACTGTGCAGCTGCCAAAGGATACCCAGTGGTACAGCTCTATTACAGCCCTTGGTTCCCATCATCCCTTATTCGCTTGGGGCCAAAACAATCTACGTCGAGGCACACGAGTTCAAGGCTTCATTCACCATCGTGGGGCTAACCTGCCTGGCTTCCCATGCAGGAGCCCCTTCTGGGCGCTTTCCTAGGCTAGAGTAGCTGAGGAGCACAGCTGCAGCGCTCCGTGGGATGTAGCTTTGATTTCCTGGCCGTGCTGGCTGCACAGATGATAGCTCGGGGCAATGTGATCTTCATTTGGGCTGCCAGGAATTCCTCTGGGAATCCCCAGTAATGCTTTGATGTTCTGGTGGGGACTGAGATGCTGTTGTGTTAATTTACAGGAGGAAATGCCAGCATCTTCCCACTGCCCTTCTGTAAAGGGAATGGCTGTTGTACCTAGATTTTATTGAAATCCTGTAGGCAAGGGACTCGGTGCATATGAGTTTGCCCACGTTGAAGTGGGTTGTATTGTAAATGAATTTCACTAATGAAATGAACTGACCTACCAGGTAAGCATGAGATCCAGCCCTCCCAGCTGTAGGAGACACCGTACCAGGTTGCAGGGGTAGATGTATGAAAGGCCAGGTTCAAAACATGACCCGATTGTTCCTTTGCAGTCTGATTCCTCCCCACTCCCTCAGCTAACTCAGAGGCGAATGGAAAAGACGTGGTTCAGACAGGCTTCAGGCACTGCCTAGTGACAGTCGGGCATCCCAGACAGCACAGATAGAGGCATCTCGGTTCTCTTTCCTCAGTCCCTGGCTTCAGGGAACCATCTCTATTTTTAACCTTTAATGGTCAATTATATTCCTTCCAGATGTTTTTTTTTCCCCAGGCGGCACTGAAGGCCAACAGGTAAGGTCAATTTGGAGAGCAAATTCAAGTACACTGTTGCAATACTACTGTGTTTGCTACGGCTGTCCTCGCGCTCTGGGACTTCTCTGCCAGGATCAGTTTGACCAACAAGGCAGAGTTCCTTCATAATCACTCAGAAGACGTAGTCAGAGCAGTAATTATTACAAGGAGACCAGCTTTGAAGTCTGGACTTTTGCTCATCAGCTTGGCAATGTTGAAGTGTAGAGAGTCTGTCTGCGTTCTGTCTCCTTCTCCGTTTCTGACAGCGTGACTGTTGTGAATTAGCATTTGAAAGCTAAATTTGGTGACTGTGAGAGTGATGAAAAGTTACGTGATACGTGTTATCGGGCTGTGTGTGTGCGCTCGCCGTTCGTTAAATGTTTGTCTCTTTGGAGACGCCAGCCCCAAAGTGTGGTGTCCGTCGCTCTGTGGAAGAACGGAGGGCACAAGGGCTTGTGGTGCCTCTTGCGAGGTAGCCGCCTGACAGGATCAAGCGGGGAAGGCAAGCTGTTCTGCCCTTGTAATGCACACTGTGTTCTGGCAGGCCATGACCTTCAGGATTCCTGCGGCGCTTTGGATGGTGACTTTGACTTGAACTGGGAAGCAGAAAAAGAACTCGAAGCCATGGCATGTGACGGAGAAGACTTTATTCCGCCAAAAATAATGGTGAGGGTTTCCAGCTCAGCTACCTGTATCTACTCAGGCGCTCTCTCTCCTTCCAGAGCTGCTGAGTGTAGGATCTTCATGGGAAGAGGCAAGTCTTTTGTATAGGCAGCTCTTCAGGTGTGTATGAGGGTCACTCGGAGATCAGCCAAGCCATGACATGGCATTCAGCATCTGTTATGGCTGGGGGCAATGTGTTGAAAGAAAACTAGACGTGGAAGAACCTGTAGTCCAGCCCCAAGTCAGAGCAGGACTGTCACCAACACTGAATCTAGTTAGCCTGAGTATCGATAACCCTGATGATAAGAGATCTAAGTCCCCAGGCCCAGCAGTCCCTCTCTCCTGGTGTTACTTGCCTGACTTGCTTTGGAGCCCTGTGTCATCCCGTGAGATGCTTTCTGCTCTTCTGTCATTCCTGGATGCTAGGCTCCCTCCTGTGCTCCCCCTGCTCTGCTGTGTGGGGTCTTGCAGACAGGACCAGGTTCTGACACATCCCTCCTTTGGCCACAGGCACGTATATTCAGGCAAAAGGGGGTCTCAAGCTTCCAGCTTGTTCTCAGGGCAGCATTGCCAGTCCAGCACAGCAGTACTGTGTTTGAATGGGTCCTGCTGAGGCTTGGGAAGAGTGGTGGACACGGAGACAGTCTGCTTTTATATGTGTTCCCACGCTGTCTGTGCAGCCTCAGCCCTGAAGCACGCTCAGGGCAAAGTGCCCAGGTGAGACCCAGACACCGGGCACCCAAGCCTTGGGTTTGCTCAGCTCGTGGTACCTCCAGCATGGCTCCCCAGGTGCTGTGTGTGCGCAGCGTCCGTCCCTGGACATTCTGTACGCTGTGCCTCTCCAGAAACTTTAACTCCCAAGTGGCCACAGGAGTGACTGGGAGCGTGCCACGTGGGAGGGCTTGAAGGCAGCCCAAGCTGGAACCCCGGCTGCCTGCTTTGCCTTCGCGGCGATGAACAAAGGTGCCCGAAATCACAGCGCAGCCCAGCTGCCCTTTGGCTTGTGCTGATGGCGGGCTGTCCTCTTGGGCTCTCGTGCTGATGGAGCCAGCTGAAGCTTCAGCCGGAGTTGCCAGGCGACCTGCGGCTGGGTGCCTGCCCGTGCCTGGTGCCCTTCCGTCCCTTCCAGGCGACCTGCGGCTGTGTGCCTGCCCGTGCCTGGTGCCATGCCGTCCCTTGGCTGGTTGCTGTTCGGGCACGCAGCCCTCCCACCCCCAGCCAGCTGAGCGTGCCAGCGTGAACCGTCCTCTGCAGCCGGCGGCGCAGACCCTGGCGCAGAGGAAGGCTGCGCAGAAGTGACCTTTACTGGGATACAGCTGTTCGTGGTGACGCACAAGCTGCTGCATCCTCTGCACGCGCCGGTCTCCCCTTTACAGACTGTTATCTCGGGCTCAGTCCTGCCTTTTAGGCAGAGCTGTGTCCCCGTTTGTTGGGGGTCGAGGACACTGTGACACATCGGGGTGCTTGGCAGGCCTGGGGGTGCTCTGTAGGACCAAAGGCTTGGAGGACCTTCCACAGGGACGCAGACAGGCCAGATTAGCTGCTAGTTCGGGGAACACTGGAGAGCAAGTGAGCAGGGCACTGTTACCATGGTCTTTGTGCTTCTGTCCACACTTTACTGGCTTCTCTTCATGCTGTTGCACTTCTTTTTCCCCCTTGCAGCTCATTTCTTCCAAGGTGCCCAAAGCAGAGTATGTCCCGACAATTATCCGCAGGGACGACCCTTCTATCATCCCCATTCTCTACGTAAGTCTGTCAGTTCTGCTGTGGCTGCATGTGTGGGTGCAGGCTGCATGAAGAAAATATTTTTTTTTTTTTTTTTTTTTTTTTGTCCCTATCCCTAATTCCTGTTATGGTGATTTTGAGACACTGATGTGATTTGGAAAAGCTGTCAGGGAAGGGCTTGGGGGTGTGCTGAACGTGGATTTGGGGGCTGGGCTAGCTTTGTGGGGGCTCAGGTCTAGGCGGGAGAGTCAGGTGGAATGAGAATTGCACATGGGGGCTGCCAGACTCTACAGGCACGGCCAGGCAGCTTGGGAGGATTAACCAGGGAAGGCAGGGCAGGCCTGAGGCCACAAGCAGAGCTATGTGTCACCAGGCTCAGGGCTCCTCCTCATGCTCATCCCTAGACAGGATGAGTGGAACCTCAGAGCTCTGCAGTGCACCATGAACCTCAGCACCCTGCGTACAGCGGTACATCCCCCTCAGTCATGAGTTTAACCTGGATGTCTCACTAGGAGTCCTGCCTGAGCAGGTGTCTGGGACACCAGCGAGGAGTCATGGGTCCCGTTGTCCTCATCGCTGTATATTCGCTGGGTTTGGAAGGGAAGGGTGGGACTGACAGCCCGGCAGACTCGGTCTCCCTGCGCGGCAGGCAGCGCTGCCGGCGGGTTTCGCTTTGCTGCCTCTCCGGGAGCAGTAGGGTTGTCCTGATGACCCTGCTAGGCCAGAGGCAGATGTGTTGGGAGGGTGGCTGTTTGTTAGCCGGGTTAGACACGCGTGAAGCCAGAGGCTGGCTACAAAACATGGGCCAAGAGGCAAACACGCATTGCTGATGCTGACTGCCTCTGATGGATGTATGTGCTTTGGACATGTCTGCAGGATTCAAGCCTTTGGAGAGACTTGGTCTTCACGGACCATTCAGTCTTCAGCTTCTTTGCTGAGACGTGTTTTAGGGTGGTAATTGCTGTGATGTGGCTAGAAGCCCTCAGCTGCCATAATCGTGCTCTCAGAGCATCTGTTTGCCCGGGAATCAGATTCTGTGCAAGGTCAGAGACTATAACAATGTCGTGGGAGCTGGTGTAGTGACAGTGAACCTTGATACGTCTTCTCTCTTGGTTTCCAGGACCATGAACATGCCACCTTTGATGACATCCTAGGTATGTGAGTGTTATTTCCTTTTCTCAACTCCTGCCCATTGCAAGTGTATCTGATCAGTGTGTTAAAGTCAGCCTGCTGACTTGTGCCTCAGCTGCCACTCGTAAAGGTGTTTCTATCACCCTGGTGGCACCCGACAGTCAGCCAGCTGCTGTTGGATGTGCTGCAGTAATAAAACTTCACTTCTGTGGCCTGTTTTCTATGCTGAGCTCGGGGTTTATGAAAGGGAAGCTGAGGCACAGGGCAGCAAGGATACCTGTCCGTTGTAGCGTTGTAGGAGCATTAACAGAGGGTCAGGAGAGCAGGGTCGGGTGCAGTGCTGTGGCCGCTGTAGAGCGGTGTCTGGTGCTGCACTGTGCCTTCTCCGCCCTGTGCTGTGCTTTCCTGCTTTCCCAACAGCGTGAAAGCAAAGAAATAAGATTAGCTTTAAAATTCTTCTATGGTTCATCTTTTCCAACGTGACTTTTTTTCAGAGGAAATAGAGAAGAAACTTAACATTTATCGGAAAGGCTGCAAAATCTGGAAGATGCTGATATTTTGCCAGGTACATGAAAGTTGTTAAGCGCTTGGGTGATTTGTTACAAATTTGTCTTTTTCTGCAGGGAAAATTACAATAATCCAAAACCAATAATCCAGAGTCGGGTTCTGTTAAAGTAACGGCATGTGTGCAGCTTTCACTTCTCATTTCCCCAGACAACGAGCAGTCTCAAGTTGCTGTGACAGCTGGAAATAAAATCTGATTTAGTATGGCTGGGCTGCTTCTCAGCTGCTTTCAAAGAAACGCAGGCAAACCAGCATTAGTGCAGACCTCGGAAGGAGGGTTTTGGAGAAAGGAACAAGCATTTACAATGCGATGGTTATAGCTTTTGTACAGCTTCAGTGTGACAGTGGCAGCGATGGGTGCTGCGGATCAGACGGGCAGGCGGCACAGTGCGGAGCCGGAGGCCGGCGGATGCGGTAGAGGGGTCAGGGAAGAGCCCTGCCGAGCCGTGGGTGGGACGGACTCGGGCGCTGCTGGATCTGGGGCTTGCCAGGGATTTCCTTCCCAAGGCTCTTGTTCCTCAGGGTGGTCAGCTTCGGATTTCCCCTGCAGCTGTGCAAGGAACCTTGAAATGAGAAGTTAGGGAGGTAGCCTGAGTTGAACTCCCTCCCACGTGCCTACTGCTGCAACACAGCAGGGTTTGCTGCGCACTGACCTGGAGACTGCAACTTTTAATTTCCCTGATGTTGTGCTCAGTCTTTTTATGCCTGCTACTGTCAAAGTCCAGTTCTTCCACAGTGTCATCTTCCCTGCTTATCCCTGCTTCGCTCAGTTCCTCGTCTGCCTACGATGGCAAGTCCCCTAGCAGCCCCAAAGGAAAGGGACTTTTTTGTCTTCCCTATTTCTCTTCAGCCACCCACAGTGAAGAGTTTTGTCTGCTGTTGTGCCTTTCCAGAGTGAGGTGCACACAGAGAACAGTACAAAACGGAGAATCCAACCCCCAGCACGCTCCCCGAATGTGAAGATTTCCCGAGCGGTGCCTGCCACGGAGGCTGCAGCAGCGCTGCCAGCCTGGCGCGTTGCTCTGCCCCCTTGTGGCCCCTCTGGGAATGGCTGTGCAGCACGGGGGGCACGGCCAGCGCTGGGCATGGCCTCAAGTTGCGGCACGGGAGGGTTAGATTGGATATTGGATTATACTTAAGTAGCAGGGGAGACACCGTGATCAGGCAGGTGGCTTTGCCAGGCGAGGCTCATCCCTTGCACTCGGGTGAGCTGACCCCTACGATTTCCCCACTGCATAATTTGTGGTACTGGGGGACTGCGCGCTTTATTTGTTTTATTTCTAATCATAAGCAAGCTCAGAAAATATGGTCTGGATGAGTGGTCAGTGAGGTGGATTGAGAACTGGCTGAATGGCAGAACTCAGAGGGTTGTCATCAGCGGCGCTGAGTCTAGTTGGAGGCTGGTAACAAGTGGTGTCCCCCAGGGGTCCGTACTTGGACCAGTCTTATTCAACTTCTTCTTCAATGATCTGGATGAAGAGTTAGAGTGGACCCTCAGCAGGTTTGCTGATTACCCAAAACTGGGAGGAGTGGTGAATATGCTAGCAGGCTGTGCTGCCATTCAGCGTGACCTGGACAGGCTGGAGAGTTGGGTGCACAAGAACCTGATGAAGTTCAGCAAGAGCAAGGGCAAGGTCCTGCACCTGGGGAGGAACAACCCCATGTATCAGTACAGGCTCGGGGCAGACCTGCTGGAGAGCAGCTCTGTGGAGAGGGACCTGGGTGTTCTGGTGGATGACAGGTTAACCATGAGCCAGCAGTGTGCCCCGGTTGCCAAGAAGGCCAATGGGATCCTGGGTGCATTAAGAGGAGTGTGGCCAGCAGGTCGAGGGAGGTTCTCCTTCCGCTCTACACTGCCCTAGTGAA